GGTTAAAGTGATTATCCTGCCTCAGCCTCCCAAGTAGCTGGGACTACAGGCGCACGCCACCACACCTGGCTAATTTTTGTATTTTCATTAGAGATGGAGTTTCACCATGTTGGCCAGGCTGGTCTCAAACTGCTGACCTCAAGTGATCCACCCACCTCACCTTCCCAAAGTGCTGGGATTACAGGCATGAGCCACTGTGCCCAGCCCACCCTCGTACATTTGATATCTCTGGGTATTCCTGGATTTCTGGGACTCTATATCAGGATTTATTTTTGGGGGGCTATTTTCCCTCTTTCATGTGTAGTTCTGAAGATAATATTAAAAAGGCATCAAAGCTGAATCAAAATGTATCATACATTTATACCATGAAAGGGAACATGGAGACTCTTTTCTCCATTCTCTCTTTCTTTCCCCATCTCCCCTCCTGGGAAAGATGATTGGGGCCTTGTGTTATGGGATGCTTCATGATGTTATTTGGGGAAACGACAGGGCAATGCTTTATAGACCTAATAAGATGAGGATATTCATTTGTAAGAAATAAAGTCAAAGTTATGTTAATGGGAAGAATATGACTTTCTGTTTGTATTCTAGACCTCCAGGTGAAGTTTCAGAGGGAGATGAGTCTTTGTGTTGCAGGATGTGTTCGGTTTTGCAGAGGAGGTGTTAGGGGAGGGTAGGTGGAGGGGTTGCAGCCTGGGAGAAAGACTCTCACCTCCTCTGTCCTCTGCCTCCCCACTTCCTAATCCTTCCCTCCCTGAGGCAGACCTTCACAGCCTGAGTCAGAATCCAGCTCTCTCTTCTTCACAGCAGAAGATGGATCCGGATGGCTGGAGGAGAAAGAAGAGCTGATATTGCGGTGGAAAGCCCAGGACAGGAGGTCTAGATCAGAATCTTAAAGCCTTATGGCACCAGAATGTCATTCTTCATCCAGAGCTTCAGCTTCTTCAAACATAAAATAGAATTCATAATTCCTGGCTGGGCGCGGTAGCTCATGCCTGTAATCCCAGCACTTTGGGAGGCCAAGGCGGGTAGATCACGAAATTAGGAGACCAAGACCATCCTGGCTAACACAGTGAAACCTCATCTCTACTAAAAATACAAAAAATTAGCTAGGCATGGTGGCATGTACCTTTAGTCTCAGCTTCTTGCTTGAGAGGCTGAGGCAGGAGAATCGCTTGAACTTAGGAGGTGGAGGTTGCAGTGAGCCAAGATCGCACCACTGCACTCCAGCCTGGGCCACAGAGCTAGACTCCCTCTCAGAAAAAAAGAAAAATAATAATAATAATTCCCTTGAGCATCATATGAAATACTAAAGCATTAAGCACATAGTGCCTGGCATGTAGTATAAACCATGTTCACTATTGTTAACTATAAATCCATGTTAACTGTTGTTATTGGTATTGGTATTCCATGCCTGGGATTGTGGAATTGAATTTACTTGATAATTTCTTTAGGGAGGGGTGAAAGTCCTGGGAAAAAATTAGGGAATGGGATAGTAAAGGGGAAAGGGTTAAACGGAGAGAAGAGATGGGAAACGAGAGATGCCGGCAGAGTTCCCTCCGAAAGCTGGAGATGCGTCCTCCCGAGGTTGTTCCCTTCTCCCAGGAAGTGACACACGGAATCCCAGCCACAGTGAAGTTTAAGAGAACTGAACAGCAAGATAAGGGGTACAATGTTTGATTCTACCCTCAGCCGCCTACTCTCTCCATTCAGTGCAGCTTGGGAACAAACCCAGAGCCCTAGCGGTAAAGACCTGCTTCTGGAGCTGCAAGTTCAGATGCCTTCAGGGGCCACAGAAGTATTTCAAATGTCAGAGGCAGTCAAGTGTGTATCACCTAAAGGCCTTCAGATGCAAATTTAAAAACATACCCTCCATACCAACAATTGTTTACATGTCTTTGGTTTTGTTTGCAAGCTTTGGCTTCAAGCACAGTTGCTTTAGCCAAAGGTCTGAGAAGCAGTGTCTGTAAGAGGCAGAGGCACAGCTCTCTATTTCCTCACTGGTTCCATAGAACCCTCACTGTGGGCCACTGGGGGCCAGAAGAATCACTCTGCAAGCAATGGATATCTCTCACAGAAACAGAGAAAAAGTCTACCCTATGGCTTACATAATAATTCACTTTTATTGAGAAAAACACAACGACTGTTGTGTTGGAACTGTATAGAAGGTAGTGAACACAATGAGAAGAATATCCAAGAAAAGCAGAACGTGTAAGAGACATGGATGAAAGGTGGTGTGTTCCCGTGGTATGGACTCTTGGATTCTAAAATTACTGAAGCCTCTAAGCCTCACATTTCTCATCAATAAAATAAGACCGTTGCTATCACTGCATGGAGATGTTGCACATATCAAATGAGCCCAACATACAATAGAAACGTATTGTGATTTTTAAAATTTTTCATTCTCCATTTCTTTGCATAAGTATACACTGTCTGCATATGCTCCCTTTAGACTTTATCATTAAATTGTTCTTTTTTCTGAAAGTTTAAGTTCATCTCATGATCTCCTCCTCAAAAATCACCTGTTTCCCAGATATTTTCAGATGGCTTTGGTTTTTCTCATAAGGGATGAAATAAATTCTTTTTTTTTTTTCTTTTTTTTTGAGACGATGTCTCATTGTGTTGCCCAGGCTGGAGTGCAGTGGCCCCATCATAGCTCACTGCAACCTCGAGCTCCTGGCCTCAGGCGATCCTCCTGCCTCAGCCTCCAGAGTAGCTGGGACTACAGGCAAATGGTACCATGCCCTGCTAGTATTTGTGGATGGGTGTAGTGGTGGAGGTTGCAATGAGCCGAAATCATGCCAGTACACTCCAGCCTGGGTGACAGAGCGAGACTCCATCTCAATAAGTAAATAAAATAAACATATACAAAATAAAATGTGGCCAGGAGCAGTGGCTCATGCCGGCAATCCCAGCACTTTGGGAGGCTGAAGTGAGTGGATCAGGAGGTCAGGAAGACCAACACCATCCTGGGCAACATGGTGAAACCCTGTCTCTACTAAAAATACAAAAATTAGCTGGTCGTGGTGGCATGTGCCTGTAATTCCAGCTATTTGGGAGGCTGAGGCAGAAGAATCGCTTGAACCAGGAAGTTGAAGGTTGCAGTGAGCCGAGAACGCGCCGTTGCACTCCAGCCTGGCAATAGAGTGAGACTCTGTCTTAAAATAAAACATGACAGCTCTAATACAGGCAGGAGGAATTCTCTCTTACCTAAGGGAGGATCAGCCTTTTTGTTCTATTTAATATTTAGGCCTTCTACTGATTGAATGAGGCCTACTCACATTAGAGAGGGCAATCTGCTTTATTCCGTCTACCTACTTAAATGTTACTGTCACCCAGAAACTCCTCCACTGACACACTCAGAATAATGTTTGACCAAATAGCTGGGCACCTTGTGGCCTAGTCAAGTTGCCACATAAAATTAAACATCACATGGTGTAAAACTGAGAGTTCTGAATTTTTAGAGTCCCCCATTATCCTTACTATCAGTGGATCTGCATCAAGAATATATATATACTCTCAAATACGTGGTAACAGTTTTGTTATTAATCAGTTCACACATTCAGCAAATCCTGAGTGCCTGATGTGTATTAGGTGCTGTAGTGCTTGTGAGGCAAGTGCCTTCCCTTAAAGATGTGCAATGCAATTGCAGAGAGGAAACATAAAACATAATGCAGGCAGAGATGAGATAACACCACTAACAAATAATGATACAAATAAATATCAACAAAACACTGTATAATTAAATATGCCCTTCAAATAAAACCACATTAACCTCCTCATTTTGAATTTGTATATTTATTCAAAATGTTTGGAAAAGGAGTGTTCTGGTTAATTGAAACATACATAAGAATTGGTGGCCAGCCTTGGTGGCTCATGCCTATAATCCCAGCACTTTGGGAGGCCAAGATGGGCAGATTACCTGAGGTCGGGAGTTTGAGACCAACCTGACCAACATGAGAAACTCTACTCTCTACTAAAAATACAAAATTATCCAAGACATGGTTGTGCATACCTGTAATCCCAGCTACTTGGGAGGCTGAGGCAGGAGAATCACTTGATCTCAGGAGGCAGAGGTTTTTGTGAGCCAAGATAGCACCATTGTACTCCAGCCTAGGCAACAAGAGCAAAATGCCATCTCAAAAAAAAAAAAAAAAAAAAAAAAAGAATTGGTAACCAACTCTTTATATATTATATATGTCTGTAAAAAATACATGTTATGTATAATAAATTTCCATAGAAATTATTAAGTAACTTTTCCTTCTAAGACCTCATTATAAGTAAAATTTAATTTTAAAATTCATCATATGTAAGAGTTGTGGAAAATTAGACTAAATTTTCACAAAGTGTTTGGCATTTTCTAAAAATCTTAGTATTAAAAATGCGTAAATATATAACTTGAACAAAATTGAAAGGAATAAACTAAAACACAAAATTTGATCTTGAATAACCCTGTCTTCCAGCTCTACTCTTTTTTTTTTTCCTGGATAAAACCGTTGCAGTACCAGCCCTACTTTTTAGAAGTAGTTATATATATTTTGAGATGGAGTCTTACTTTCGTCACCCAGGCCGGAGTGCAGTGGAACAATCTCAGCTCACTGCAACCTCTGCCTCCCAGATTCAAATGATTCTCCTGCCTCGGCCTCCTGAGTAACTGGGGTTACAGGCGCCTGTCATCATGCCCAGCTAATTTTTCGTATTTTTAGTAGAGATGGGGTTTCACCATGTTGGCCAGGTTGGACTCGAACTCCTGACCTTGTGATCCACCCACCTTGGCCTCCCAAAATACTGGGACTACAGGCGTGAGCCACTGCACCTGGCCCTTTACTCTGAATTTTTATCAGCCTTCCGAAAATCATAGAGAAGCTAGAACTTACTTGTGGTCATGGGGGACGGGTGCATCTTTTTATAAAGTGAGTTAAAACAATGACAGTGTTTTTATTTGCAATCAACTTTTTTCTTACAAAAAGACTCCCTCTTTTATTACGTCTTTATTACAGGGATGTCAGAAAATATGATGCACATAAAGAAGTCCAGATCACCCACCATCCACCCCCTTGGAGACGGCTGCTGTTAACAGTCATCCACATCCCATTCTTTCTATGCTTACACACTGAAGACAACAGAAATGAGAGCATTTTTTTGTATGCTGCTTTTTAACTAGTTTTCACTTTTATTTAAACTCTTCAAGAAATCTTTTAAAATTTCTTTTTAAATTCATCTACTGCTCCATGCTATTCCTGTGGGTGAAAAACTGTAACACTCAGCACAATAAATTAATTCTCTGTGAAACTCATGTTCTCATGTTACCAGAAATATTTTTTGGTCTGATCTATATTTCTTCTTTGTATAATACTTACAAAATGACCAAACTAAATAAAATTATGTTCCCTATTGTTTGAAAATAGTTTGTAACTAGGAAATAAATACTGTGGTACATTAGGGATGATCACATTATGTAATTTAGTAAAAGTTTTAATATAACATGGTTTGATCCTTTATCTTTTGCTGACAGATTTTTTTAATCCAGTTATTCAGAATGTCTAGAAATTAAGGAAAAATTCTTCTAAAACATGTGAAATGGTAAGAATCGGTGAGCTTTAGTGGTATGGAGGCAAGAACGGAGGCCAAATTGTGTTCTGTGTCCACATTTTTCCCTTATAAGCAAGCACACAGACACACACGTACACCCCACACACAGACACACACCCACACACACATACATACCCACAACACACACACACACACACACACACATACACACACACACACACACACACGTTTTTACCCAGGTGAAACTGGCTCAAAATAAATAGTAAGTGCAACTTTGAGTAAAAAGTGTTGTAGTGATGTGACCCCACATCTAGTCCCTGAAGGCATTGTATTCATAAAAGGAAATTATACTTCTTCATGGAGTTCATCTGACAGAGGAAGACGTTCTTATCATATGTGGTCATATTTATAAACTCCATCCATGCCTCCGACCCCTGCTTTCTTTTTTTTTTTTTCTTTTTTTGAGATGGAGTTTCACTCTTGTTACCCGGGCTGGAGTGCAATGGTGCCCATCTCGGCTCACTGCAACCTCCGCCTACTGGGTTCAAGCAATTCTCCTGCCTTAGCCTCCCGAGTAGCTGGGATTACAGGCATGCGCCACCATGCCCAGCTAATTTTTGTATTATTTTTAGCAGAGACGGGGTTTCACCATGTTGACCAGGATGGTCTCGATCTCTTGACCTCGTGATCCACCTGCCTCGGCCTCCCAAAGTGCTGGGATTATAGGCGTGAGCCACCACACCCAGCTAATTTTTTATATTTTTAGTAGAGACGGGGTTTTGCCATGCTGGCCAGGTCGAACTCAAACTCCTGACCTCAAGTGATCCGCCTGCGTCAGCCTCCCAAAGTGTTGGGATTACACGCTGGACATTTCATATAAGTGGAATAGTATAAATGTGGCTTTTTGTGTCTGACTCCTTTCACTTAGCAAAATGTGTTCAAGGTTCATCCATGTTGTAACAGATATCAGTACCTTTTGCCTTTTCATGGCTGATTAATATTCCACTGCATGGCTATGACAATTTCTTTATCCATTCATCAATTGATGGCCGTTTGAGTTATTTCTACGTTTTATTTATTTTTTAATAGAGGTAAGGTGTTGCTCTGTCACCCAGGCTGGAGTGCAGTGGCATGATCATTCAAGCCATCCTCCCACCTCCGCCTCCCAAGTAGCTAGGACTACAGACTACACCACCACCACTAGATAATTTTTTGGTTTTTTTGTAGAGACAGGGTCCTGAACTCCTGACCTCAAGCAACCTTCCTGAAATGGACTGTCAAAATGTTGGATTACAGGCAGGAGCCACAGCGCTCAATTTTTTGACAATTGTGAATGATGCTGCTATGAAATTAGTGTACAAGTTTTTGTTAACATATGCTGTTTTAGTATTTACGGTGTCCTTTAAGGTCGCCTGTCTCGTTGGGCCTCACAAACACTTTGTGAGATAAAACAAATCCTATTTCCATCTTGCAGCTAGGGCCACAGGCTCTCAGAGATAATTGCCTAGTTTGTGCTGGAGTCAGCACTCTCATCCAGTCTTGTTTTTTAAAAGATAGCTTAAAAATGTCAAAAGAAAGCACACGATTTTCTGGGAAAGGTGAAATTTGCTGCTTATTTTTAGTTTTGTAAAGATGTGAATATATTTACCCATGCTCATTAGAAAAGCAATGTCTAGAGTAAGTTACAGATTCCAGAAGAAAATGTTGCATAACAAGTGGTCAAAATTTTCTAAAACAGAGTTATACCCAGGCTGTTGAGTAAGAATAGGCACTTCTATTCTTTGTAGTGTTGTGATTTTTACTTTCAAGGAAAATGCAGACAGATTGTAGCTGTTTGCAGTTCTAATGGTTCACAGAAAGAAATGGCTTCATATTATTTTTTCTCCTAATTATCATGCATCTTAGAGACATGTTTATGACTAGATTTAAATCTTAACACAGTCTATTAATATTTCAGTTTTGGCATCAGGCACATGAAATAGTATTATTCATGCAAACCTTGCCAAAAGCGTTCTGAGTCAAAACTTGACTAAATTAATACAGTCCTTTTTTGATATTTGAATCATCATATATAAAAATTTTGCAGGAGACCTTAGAAATGGTTTGATCCAAATACTTACCTAACGTATGCATTCTGATTCATGAATTGAACCCCCCTGCACCCTCCCCTCCTCTTATCCTTATGGCCAAAAGCAGGAACACTAATAATTAAGGACAGAAGCCTAAAAACAAACAAAAAAGTCTTGTTCACTTTTTCTTGCTTGGAATATCTTTCTCCACATTGTGTTGCTGATGAACTCTGACTTACCCCGAGTTAATTACTCTCACTCATCAATACTCATACACTATTTATCACACTGTATTGAGATTATTTGTTTAAAATATATGTACTCAGATGATGTGATTTAAAACACATTTTGTTAATCTCCAGCATCTAGTAGAATTCCTGGTGTAGTCATGCAGTAAAGATTTGGTTTTTTGTTGTTGATTTTTGTTTGTTTGTTTTTGAGACGGAGTCTTGCTCCATTGGCACCGTCTCGGCTCACTGCCACCTCCATCCACATCCTGGGTATAAGCGATTCTCCTGCCTCAGCCTCTCCATTAGCTGGGATTACAGGCATGGACCACCATGCCTGGCTAGTTTTTTATATTTTCAGCAGAGATGGGGTTTCACCATGTTGGCCAGGCAGGTCTCGAACTCCTGACCTCAGGTGATCCACCCACCTTGGCCTCCTAAAGTGCTGGGATTACAGGTTTGAGCCACTGTGTCTGGCCACAGATTTGTTGATTTTAGCCAGGCTGTGTGGCTCAAGCCTGTAATCCCAGCACTTTGGGAGGCTGAGGCTGGGCAGATAGTTTGATCCCAGGAGTTTGGGACCAGCCTGGGCAACATGGCGAAAATCTGTCTCTATAAAAAAAAAATGCAAAAATTAGCTGGGTGTGGTAGCATGCACCTGTAATCTAGTCTCAGCTACTCTAGAGGCAGAGGTAGGAGGATCACTTGCCCTTGGAGGCTGAGGCTGCAGTGAGTCCTGATTGTGCCACTGCACTCCAGCCTGAGTGACAAAGCAAGACCCTATATCAAAAAAAAAAAAAAAAAAGATCTGTTCATTTAGATGGACTTTTTAGCAGCATCTCAGGAACTCTGAGTTCTGACTGACTGCCGATTGTCAAGTCACTATCTGCATTACCATTAATTAACAGTTACGAAGCCCTCATAGCTAGAAGAACTAAACTGGACCTAAAAGATGTATAAAGTACCTTGCACATAGTCCCAGCACTTAGGAAGTTAGTGAAGTCTATATATACAAAATAGAAGTCAAGCCTGGCAAATGTAGATTCAATATTAACGTTGAGAAGACTACCCATGCGTATGCATGTAATCAATGGGGGGCCAATGTGTGGGATATGTAAAAGGATTAGCGATATTGAGATTGGGCCATGTTATTAGCCAACTTGGCAAGGATCAATCAGTCCTTCAACATAAAATTACCGAGCAATTATTTTAAAGGTGGAGCCAACAACATTTCCTGACTGATTGGATGTGGGTGTGACAGAGAAAAGGGCCAAGAAAGCCTCCACTGTTTTTGATCTGGGCCACTAGAGGCATGGAGTTGCCATCCAGTGAGATGGGAGACTGTGGTAAGGCAGGTTTGTGGGAGGTGATTAGGAGTTAGTCACTAGGCTCTAGACAGACTTTGGGACACCTTAGTGAACAAGGGAAGGAGACATCCAAGCCTCTGATATTAAATTCTCATGGATGACGGGAACAAATGTGTAATGCATAAGAAAGTTACATTGATGTTAAAAGGGATGAGAGCTAAGAGCAAACAAAAAGCAGGGTGTGGGGATCGGGAGAGCTGGGGTGGGAGGTACCTGGAAGAATTCTGTTTCAAGCTGAGGAAATGATCAGCTAAAATGTCCTAAGGCAGACAGTGCCTGGCGATTCCTCTAGGGATCAGGGAGTACAGAGTGTCTAGAACAAGGTAGCCAGTGAGAGTAAGAGAGGAGATCCGAGGGGTCAGGGGGCCACATCATGTAGGGCCTGATAGGCCATTGTAAGGACTTTGGTTTGTACTACTCTTGTTTAAACAGGGAGTCTTTGGAAGGTTTCCAGCAGAGTGATGACATAATCTGATTTATGAATTCAAAGGATTACTCAGGCTGCTGGGGTGAGAATACACTCCAGGAAGGTAGACTAGACTCAGGTGGAAACAGGGAGATTTAAAGATGCCGTCGAGGTAATCCAGGCAGGGAATCATATGGATTAGTGTGGGGGGAGGAGCCGGGGGAGTGAGAAGAACTTGGAATCTGGTTATATCCAAAAAGTAGAGCCAATAGAATTTCCTTGTAGATTCAGTTTGAAGCGTGACAGAAAAGGGAACCAAGGATCACTCAAAGTGTTTTTGTTTTGATTTGAGATGGAGTTTCACTCTGTTACCCAGGCTGGAGCGCAGTGGCGCAATCACAGCTCACTGCAACCTTGGCCTCCTGGGTTCAAGTGATTCTCCTGCCTCAGCTTCCTGAGTAGCTGGGATTATAGGCATCCGCCACCATGCCTGGATAATATTTGTATTTTTAGTAGAGATGAGGTTCCACCATGTTGCCCAGGCTGGTGTTGAACTCCTGACCTCAAGTGATCTACCTGCCTTGGCCTCCCAAAGTGCTGGAATTACAGGCATGAGCCACCGTGCCAGGGCTGACTCCAAGACTTTTGACCTGAGCAACTGGAAAGGATGGAGTTGACATCTATAACATAGAGAAGTCTGTGGTGGAGGCAT